CAAAAAAAAAAAAAAAAAAAAAAAAAAAAACAAGGCAGGGGCCCACCATTCTCAGTGCCTCAGTGGTCGTCTTCCTTGTCACAGCAAAGCCACGTGTGAGGCTATGATTGGGACCCATTGAACAAAATGTGTGATGTTTGATGGTCAACCTCCTGTTTGTCATTACGTGGGAGGGAAGTGGTGATGTTGGTTGGTTGGATGGATGCACACGATTTCACCATTATTGAGGCCATTAGGTTTAGAGCCACCACTTGTATTGTGTGTGTGTGTGTGCGTGTTTCATTCGTTTTTCTTGTTCCTACCACCCACCAAGGCAATTATTGTTGTTTTTCTCTTGTTTCAATTATGTGTTCGTTACTAGAAAAATTTCAGGTGCATTGTCAGAATAGGACTCTCCTTTTCCTGTCGCATGTTCTCTTCTGTTATAGCATGAATTTGCTTCCATTTACTTTTTTTTACTTCTTTTTATGTTCGATTTTCTAGTTGAAACACTTTCAGGATTTGTTTTAGGTCTCTTAGGTTTCGATAGAAGTGAACCTTCTAGTTTATCAAAGAAGATGGTTTAGAGGGATGAGATTTGTTTTTTCTCTTTTTTCTCCAGATGAACATTTAACAACTGTTCTTAGATTAGGTTTTTGTGTTGCATTCATGTAGCTCAGAAAATGTTTCAAATGAATATTTGGGAACACCATAGTGAAGTACGGAAAGGACAAATTTCTTAGAATTAGGGGGCTAATTTTACTTAGTAGGAGAACTCTGCAGCTGTGGTTAAGTACTTGTAAAGGTTCTGAAGTTTAGATGCAAGAAGTCTTCATTTGGTTTAGAAAGTAGGCTACCAGTTGGGAAGAACTCTTTCATTGAACTGAGATTAAGTGACCTATCAGTACACAGATTATCTCTTGCGTGGAAGTATATCTTAAATGTCCTTTGTTTTAAGAAAGAGAACGCCTTTATTTGTTGGCCACTTATAACAAGAAAAAGAGAAACTGTAGCTCCTAAAAAGAAAAAGAAAAGAATGAGCTGAAGAGAACCATTACCCAACCTTATTGGAGAAATCAATGTTTGTTTTTGTGAGATCCCATATCAGTTGAAGAGGGGAACGAAACTTTGCTTATAAGAGTGTAAAAACTTCTCCCTAGTGGACATGTTTTAAAACCTTGAAGGAAGTCCGGAAAGGAAAGCCCAAAAAGAACAATTTTGTTAGCGGTAGACTTGGGTTGTTACAAATAGTATCAGAGACAGGTATGGGGCGGTGTGCTAGCGAGGACGCTGGCCCCCAAGGAGGATGGATTATGAGATCTCACATCGGAGGAAAATGAAGCATTCTTTATAAAAGTATGAAAACTTCTTCCTAGTTGACGCATTTTAAAACCTTGAGTGGAAGTCCCAAAAAGATCCTAAAAAGAACAATATTTGCTAGGAGTGAACTTGAGTTAGTTATACTCTTCAACACCATAACTCCACTTTTTTTTTTGTTTTTTTTCCTTCAATAGGGAAGTTACCACAGTTGTATTAATTAAGTCATGTTTAACACGAAACAGAAGTACTCAGAACATGGATTGACCAATCCAAGTAGGAAGAGTGTTGGTTGGGGAGACCTGATAGTGTGTTTTAGAGGAGTTTTTGACAACTCAAAAGGAAGGCCTCCATTTTGTCAGTGTCCTCACCCTCTTTTTCGGATCCAAAACCCCATTTTCCCCACCAATTAAAGGGGGAAAAAAGAAGAACCTAACAGATTGTCAAAGGCTACACCAAAACTTTGTCCACAGGCTATGCTGGAGGATGCTAAGAAGGGCTGCAAAAGGCTGCATTGTAAGTATTTGCTGTTAATTTAAGGACTTTCCAACTTTGCCATCTAACTGACTGCTCTTTTTTCTTTTCCATGCCCTTTCTGCTTTGTTTTGGTTCCATCCCAAACCATCTGAAAAAGGGTTTATATTTCCATTTTCTGTTTCTTAAGTAGGTTTGCTTGCATTATTAGTATAACTATTATGAAGTTGTCGAGAATCTTATGTCTTTAGGTTTGAAGAAACTCGTTTGCTCTAATCTAGATAAGATTCCTCAAATAGCTGATTCTTTCTTGTTTACTGTACTGATAAGAACAACAGATTGATTGAATTCTCACCCTCGCATGGTTATGAGCCTTTATTTAGTCTCGAAATTGTTAGAAGTTTCAATTTCTTTTAGGATTGACAAGTGACGATTTGGTATGACATAGAACAATAGAACAGACCCCCAAAACAAGGAGTCTAAGTGACAAAATTTCTTGTTTAATATGTGTTGTACGAACAACAAAGGCTATAAACTAACCTTTTGATCGAGGATATAAACGTTAGTGAATTGACATACGTTCGTGTGTATATTTATTAAGAGTAATTGGATTGGATTTTTTTGGATTTAAGAAAGAACATTGAAAGCGTAAAGGAGGAAGCACGTGGGCACATGTGAAGAAGCAGAAAATGGAGAAATCAATGAAAGCAACGCTGAAAAAGGCCCACCTTAGCCTTGTTTATCTTAACAGAGAAGAACACCGAGCAAGGAAAAAAGTGTGATATTATAAGATAAGGTACATTCAAACTTGCTTTATTTTTTGTACTATGTTTCAAACTTACTTTACTACGTTGTTGATTGTTCATATGATTTTGCATCTTCAACATCCCAAATCTATGTTAATAATGGGTTTATATTTCATTTTCGTCTTTTAGTACCGAGGAGAAATCTTTTAACATTTTAGATGAAACTTCGGACTTACACGATGTAACTATATTTTTCGTATGAACTCTTATCCTAATATTCGTTATAATAGGTCACTGCCACACAATTTTAGATCTTAATTTTCCTTCAAAATTTCGAAAGATTTACATAAATTATGCGTAAGGTTTGCAACTTTTTAAAAAATAGAGATTTTTCTGTTTTTAATATTTATTTTTTGAAGTGAGGAGATCGACCAATTACGTTATGATTAGATTGATGTATTAATATCTACAAATGAAATATTTAGCGACTTAAAAAATATACATATATGCAAATTTGTCGGTATATATAGAGAATTAGACCCGAACATTTTTTGAAAGTTTAAGGGTATTTTTGATGATTTTTTTTTCTTTAATTAATTTAACCCAAAAAAAAAAAGAGAGCAAAAAAAAGCAAAAAAGTATAATGGATAAGTTTAGCGTATGCAAGTTGGCGAAGAGAACAAACGTTGGTAACGACGTCGTATGCGCACGTGTTGGAGTTGAATCTCACATAAATTGGAGCTGCCTTTATGTGTATGTATGACCCATCCTTAAATGACTTTCATCCATCCCTTTCATCATCCAACTTTAACATATCACTCTCTCTATTTCCAAACTCTCTCTCTCTCTCTACCACTCAAAATAATTTCTCTCTCCTCCCGAATGCCTGAAGTTTCAACGTGAGCCTACAAGTAAGTTACATACCGTGTATTTTATACTCATTCTTGTTATTCTTTATTTTATAGATCGATCATAAGCCACTGCTCGAGGTAGAAGTGTATGCGACGCAAGAAGGACCCTTAGATCGGGTCATATCTTATATTGATTCGAGGTAGAAGTGTATGCGACACAGGAAGGACTCTTAGATCGGGTCATATCTTATATTGACTATCTTAGACATGTTTATAAGTTAGCCCTGTAATTGAATTAAATTTTTTGTTTATCCTATTTTACAAAATTGAAAATTTTTATGGCCCTTTTTACCTTGGAGTCCACGTGGGAGGTTCATGATTTGAAGCCTCGAAGCAGATCGTTACATGTCAGCACATACTCTCACGTGCTAAGTCTCCTTGTCTACGTGCCAACACATACTATCCATTTGTTAGATCCTATATCTTTGAGATAGTGATAGATTTTATGAGCGTGCGCATAGTTGTGATCTTGCTAGCTATGCCCCAAAGTGGGGACACACCTAAGAATTGAACTGAACTCAAACCCGAACCCAATGAGCTTGACCATCCATACCAAACGATGCCTAAATTTGAAGTTCACTTCGAGATGGGTTCATATAATACACCTAAGTCGACCCCTTGGGACCGAGTATGATAATGACGTACACTCCGTACTTTAAAATAAAAAAATTTGAGGACTATAGTTTAGTCATGCCCCATGGGTCGACCCATTTATTATGGGTAAATCTCAAACCCAAGGGTTACCTTGCGATAGGTTACACTCGAAAACATAAATTAGTTTCTTCGAGGCTGAGTGTGTGGTCGTGGCTTAAAAACCTTGCCTTGAACAAAAGATGTACACTCGAGCTAGATTATGGAAGAATAACAGGTTGAATCGCGAACCAACTCGTGAGTGGGGCCCATTATTATGGGTAAATTTGAGCTCTAAGTACAATGAGCTCGTCAGCCAATCATAAGATGAACAAACACACAAGTTGAGCTCTAACTAACGGGCTCAATATGACACGAGAGCTCACTTTGGGCCAAAATCTATCGACCCATAGACCGAATCAAACGACTTTTAGTCTGGTTCAACTTGACACTCACCTCCCAAAAACTTAGAAAAAGGAAGAGGAGGAGCACCAACAAAGATATTCTCACAATGCCCTTACTCTCGGTACACTTAAAAAAAATGACAACCTATTTAAGCAGCACCACATTATTACTCGATTTTCGCAAATAACTTCCTTTCGTTTCTTCTTTTAGTTCGTGAGGACCTACAAGAGCTTACTTGGTGCATTAATATATTAATATGGTATATTAGAAATTCAATGACATTAATACAAGAGCTTGACTTGCTAATATATATATATAGAATTTAGTAAGGGGGTAAAAAGGGTAGGAGAGAGAAGTATTAAATATAAATAATAATGTGAGAAGACAATGAGACATTGATACCTTCAATTATTTTGCCCACATGATTGGGACATCCCATATTTATGACTATTTACTGTTCCACCCATCTAAATTCATCCCTCCCAACTTTCAAATTCTCTAACATTTTCCAACAAACTCCTCCAAATAAATCCCAATCCATTCCATCATTCCTTAATTATGCTTCTTTACTTCAAAAAAGTCGATTGCCTTTAATTCAAGTTTATTATTAAAAATTTAAATATAAATCTTGTTGGACCGCTAATTTAGGGAATCATATGAGTTTATAGTCGAGGAATACTTTTTGTATTGGGATGAGGCCTTTTGGGGAAGCACAAAGCAAAACCACGAGAGCTTATGATCAAAGTGGACAATATCATACCATTGTGTGGGATGAGGCATTTTGAGGAAGCTCAAAACAAAACCACGAGAGCTTATGATCAAAGTGGACAATATCATACCATTGTGAGATCCGTGATTACTAACATGGTGTCAGAGCATATCATTTTTGACATGATATCAAAGCCATGTTCTAAACTTAGTCTGCCATAAAAATCCTCAAATGTCTAACAAACTATTGTGAGCCTCCAAGGCATAGTCAAAAAGTGACTAAAGTATTGAATAGGATCAAGGAATACTATCTCTGTAGGTATAGTATTCCACTGTAGGTATGAGGCCTCTTAAGGAAGCTCAAAGCAAAACCATGAGAGCTTAAGCAGACCTCAGTTTAGATCAGACATGACATGATATCAGAGCATATCATTTTCAACCGATCCAACTAATTAAAAAATATATTTTCAATCAAATTCTCGGAATAGAAAGAAAATAATTGAGGAAAGAAAATAAAATTACCAAACCCTAATTACCTAAGTTCATGTGATCATCTTTCTCTTATTATATTAAAGAGAATCAAAATTAGGTGCCACTTTTCAATTAAAAAAAATTAAAAGAAAAAAAAAATGAAGATTAGAAATGTGTACAATAAAATATTTCATAACAATACACGAATAATATTGGTGAAAGGAAAAAAGAAAAAGAAAAAAAGATTAAACGGAAACACCTGGCATTACAAGCCTTGGATGTGGCTTCTACGAATTTGTTCTGAAGCTTTGTTGTTGATCAGCCGGAGTGCCGGCGAGAAGCTCGGCGACGGCTGTCATGGCGCGGACCTGCATCTGTAGAGCGGCGATATAATCCGTAGCTTCGTCAAGGAGGTTCGGGAATGAGATTTTACGGCAGCCGGGAACCAGGCGGCCGAGAGTTTGAACTTTCCTCTGTACCGTCGGCAATTTTCTCGTCTCGTACCTAATTTTCACTTTCTTCGGCCGGAAACAGTTTCCAGCCGGCTTCGCCTTCTTGTGCTTCTTGAGTTTGAGTTCGAGCCGATTCGTCAGGATGGCTCTGCTCCAGCGAGTCTTGCCTTTGGCGGCAACGGCAAGGACTGTGTCCGCCGTCTCGCGGACTTTTCGGCCGTTGATCGAAGATTTCGCTGGCGGCGATGCGGTTCTCCGAGTTACGCGGTGAAGTGCCTCGACTAGTTTCGAAGAGTAAATCTGTTGCTCCGTCTCTGTTCTCCACCGTCTTTTTAAATCCGTAGATCTGGCGCTACAAATCTCCGCCGCTTGATTCTCCGATTCGATTTTTCGGCGTTTCCTCGGCCGCTGCTCCGTGAAATCAGAACTTCTCGACTCTTCTAAGTTCGAAGCAATCGCATCCATCTCAAGAAATCAATCCGCAACACACAAGCACAATCACAAGCACAAAAACCGTCAAAGCTTAAACAATCTGCAAACGAAATGAACAAAATCACAAACAAAAATCAAGCCAGAAGTAACGAAAATTTTCATGATTCCAGATTCCAGAACACAGACTTCATAATTTCCATAATGCTAACGCAAAATGAAATCAAATTTCCATAGAAAGAAACAGAGAGTGTTCCTGTGGAGCAGGAGGATACTAAATCCACAAAAAAAATCCTCCGAACCACATCGACATCAACAATGAAGAAAAGTACAGATCGTAAACGAAATCAAAGAAGAGAAACATATAGAATCCATAACTAGAGAACGAAAGGAATTGTAAAACATATAATACCTTTGGATTTCAGCAAGGAAAATTGAGCCAGAGAGGCGAAAATGAGAATTGGTTAGAGCTTGAGAATGGTTGGCAATGGAGGAAGCTAGAGAGAGAGAGAGAGAGAGAGAGAGGGTTTAGGTTTGGTTGAGGAGAAGAAAAGGAAGAAGGGAGGCTAATTTTTAAAGAAAGCAGAAGCAACCACGCGGCCTCTTCTTAATCACATCAATTTATTGTCCTCTCTCTCTCTCTCCACTATTTATTAATCTTTATCCTTTATCCATTTTTAATTTCTTTTTCTAATTAATTAATTAATTAATTTTATTATAATAGACTAATAGTCTAAGGTCAATATAAACGGTATACACATATAACATATAGATCGAGTATAGAAGATTATCGGTACCAGAAAGATCATCACGAACCCTTATCTGGGGTGAAGCCGAATTCTATGACCATGAAGTAGTGGAGGTTCGAGAATTGGTAGGCTCTAGGGTTGATTTGATTGACACCGTCTAGAAACATGACGTTCAACATCGTCAAGGAGAAGATAACGTTGAATCTGATGAGGACACTGTCGAATATGTACGAAAAACTGTCTGATATGGACAATGTATATTTGATGCAAAATTTTTTCAATTTACAGATATCTGAAGGTGGAAATTAATTTCGAAGATGAAACTAAAACATTGATTTTGATGTCATCTTTACCCGAGTCTTGGGATATTGCTGTTGCTGTCATCAACAGTTCTTGGGGTTTTGAGAAACTAAAGACAACCTTCTAGCTCCACGCGGCATTGTTCCGTCAGGCTTTCGCCCATTGCGGAAAATTCTTCACTGCTGCCTCCCATAGGAGGCTGGGCCGTGTCTCAGTCCCAGTGTGGCTGATCATGCTCTCGGACTAGCTACTGATCATCACCTTGGTAAACTATTGCCTCACTAACTAGCTAATCAAACGCGAGCTCCTCCTCGAGCGGATCCCTCCTTTTGCTCCTCAGTGTACGGGGTATTAGCAGCTGTTTCTAGCTGTTGTTCCCCTCCTAAGGGCAGGTTTTTACACGTTACTCACCCATCCGCCACTAGAAACACCACTTCCCGTCCGACATGCAAGTGTTAAGCATGTCACCAGCGTTCATCCTGAGCTAGGATCGAACTCTCCATGAGATTCATAGTTGCATTACTTATAGCTTCCTTGTTCGTAGACAAAGCTAATTCAGTCTTGGAGATTAAAGAAGAGAAATGCATGTACAGATACCTTTATTGATAATTTTCGGTAGGAAGGTATGAGTATATTTCTTGAAAACAAGACAAATCTGCTTACCACCTTTAAGAGGTGGAAGACTGAAGTTGAATTTAGAACGATTTGGAGATCAAATGTTTGAGGTCTGACGATGGAGAAGAGTATGACAAGTCAGAATTCAAAGTAGTCTGTGCAACCGAGAGAATCATCTTAACGAGAACAGTTTTCGATAAGGTAAGACAAAGCAGTAATGCTGAAAGGATGAGCAAAACATTGAATGAGTGGATAAGAAGTATAAGGATTCATTACGGTTTGAAGATATTTTGGGTTGAGTTTGTGAATACAATAGCTTACTCGATATATGATATGGTACGATCCGTTTGACGAAAATTATGACTATGATATGATTTATGTTATGGTACGATACGTTTGACGATACGACGCATATAGTGATATACTTTATGATATGACATGTTATGTTGGGAGACATGAT